TAGTATCGAATAATAATGTTAATAATAATATCTAATAATAATGTTAATAATAATATCTAATAATAATGTTAATAATAATATCTAATAATAATGTTAATAATAATATCTAATAATAAAGTTAATAACAATATTATAATAGTATCTAATAACAATGTGTGGGGGAAAGGCAGTGGGTTCGTAACATTAACGTTAATAATTTATATCTATTCCAAGTACGAACTGGCCTGGCTTAAAAATCGACCGCTTATAAGGTTACGTTACGATATTAACACTCACGGATTAGTACAAATCAAAAGACTTAGTGACAAGTGACAATACTATACAGTCAAATCACGTTTGAGGATCTGATGTTTTTAACGAACGAACCGGAATTACCAAGCTTTCCCCTATGTCATAGTTCAAGAAGGGTTAAGCGATGCGTGTTCATGATTAAACAATTATACAAATATTTCCGGTATCATGGGAATATTAAACCAAAGAAATTATGTGAGCAAGGTTTATTTCTTTAAACGTAAAACTACTTTCTTTCCTGTTTATATAAATAATAATGCCTCTTCCAAAAGTATTTCCGTACGTAGTAATTATTTGTCGAATTAGGTGTTTCAAGTATATAAATTTAACATCCGCTAAATTAAGCCCAAAAATTCATAACCAGCACTAATCACAAATTTTATAATTGAAAATAAACTAGTATATTATATTAAACCGATAAGAATCATAAAATTACTAAACAAGATGTTACAATTTAAGTTGACATTTCATGTTACTAAACTCAACATTCATAGAATTCATTGTACTCGATCGTAACGTACATTTCAGAGAAGGTCGTGGGATTCCCATTATAAAACTTGTATTTTCAATGACAAATTTGAACTGTGTACATTAACATTTAATGTATGCAGGCCTACGCACTTCGCGTACATTAGGAGTGCAACATTACATTATACCACTATCACGGTATTATAAAAGCGCGCAAAATTTGGACGTTACTCAGTTGTCGGTAAGTAGCACTTCGCGGAAGTCTCCGGCGTGATTCGACCGTACAGAAACTGAAATAAAATTAATCCCTAAAAAGATATTCTCGAAATTGGAAAAAATAAAATAAAAGTAAAAAATGTTTTCTTGCTTATGCTAAATAAGAGGCAGGTGTGATTATATAAAACTTTCAAATGAAATAATTTTAGAATGAACAATATACACGAGACTTGTCAACTGAACAAAAATGAGAATCTGAAGAACAACGACGTCAGCCAGATACGGAAATTTTACGCTGGGAAATGCATACTTCTTACGGGGTGCATCGGTTTTCTGGGCAGCGTCATTTTGGAGAAACTCCTGCGCACTTGTGTGGAAATTGAGGAGATCTACGTTGTGATCAGGACGAAAAAGGGTGTGTCGATAGAAGAACGGCTAAAGAAACGCTTCGAAAATGTTGTAAGTACCGAAGAAACTGTAAGAATTGAAAATCAACAGATAACACTTCTGACATAATTATATCAGTTAGTCTGAACGATACAAGCAATGTTTTATATGTAATTTGAATGGGATCGGGGAGCGTATACGCTGCGAGAAGGATTTTTCGCTGCGGGCAAAAAGAAACATTCATATTTCTATCGTTTTCAGCTGTTCCGTAAATTGCACGAATTGAATCCCAACTTCATGGAAAAAGTCGTACCGATTAATGGTGATCTACAAAAAACCGATTTGGGTCTCTCACCTGAAGACCGTCGATGTTTAATCGAGAATGTTGATATAATAATTCATAACGCGGCCGTAGTGTACTTTGAGGCAAGACCGTCCTATCTTTTGCGGTCGAACGTGATTGGCACGCAGAAGATGCTCGAATTAGCGGCAGAATGCAATCATTTAAAGGCGTTCGTGTACGTTTCAACCGCGTACTCACATCTTTACAACGAAGTGATCGAAGAGAAATTTTACCCACCACCGGCTGACATAAAACTAGTCGAAGATATGATACGAGCCGATGAAGAGACGAAATATGGAATTAGCAAGGAACAGATAAATGATTTCGTAGGGAAATGGACCAATATGTACACCTTCAGTAAAGCCATCACCGAAAGCGTGGTCGAGGATTTTAGCAGAACAGCATCGTTCCCTTGCTTGGTCTTCAGACCTTCTATCGGTATGAATGCATTATTACATTTCTATTTCAATTCGACGATAAAAACGTGTTGACGAAAGGTGCTGAACTAGTATCGTTTATATTGAAAAGTTTCAATAAAATTAGAAAGGGACGTCGTCCGAGATTCATGAATCACTGTAATGCACCGGGTATATCATAAAAAGTGGCAGAATTTTTAAGGCTGATATTGTATCAAACGAGAAATGTTCTGTTCCAGGAGGGGGAAAAATCTTTTGACGCATGCGATGGCGTTGTAAGTGGAGGCGAGGCGTGTCGATGATTTGTAGGTACACTGAATTTTATTTAAATGGAACACTATATTTTGTCCTCTATAGTCTCGCAGTGTTCTGCGTGATAAGTTCATCAACCAGATCACAATTTCATCCAAGGTCATGCAAGGACACACGATGCCAAAAACCTTACCTTGCATGCTCCGGGAAAAGAACAGTTGACCTTGATATTATCTAGACGCCTCCACCTATATCGCCACCGCATACATCAGAAGATTTCCGCTTATGGAACAGAACATTTCTCGTTTCATCGTCCTTTTTTGTATCTCTTCACACGTTGGAGAAATTTTAATCGGCCAGCTTTATGAGAATCACCCTGGATATAATTCATGGAACAGAACATTTCTCGTTTGATCGTCCTTTTTCGTATCTCTTCACACGTTGGAGAAATTTTAATCGGCCAGCTTTATGAGAATCACCCTGGATATAACCTGCATGAAAAATAATAATGTAATGTACCTGCTTGCTTCGTAGAATCAGTGACAATTTCTATATCATTATTTTTCACTGAAAATATGTTACGATCAACCGACGTGCTTTCAAAGATTTTTGGAAAAAACAAACGATTTCAATGGCAATTTTGTTATTCTATTGAAAGATCGAAAAAAGAACATATTTTAACGCTCAAGGCTATTAATTGTAAGAGCACCGACTTGCAATACACCCTCTGTCGTTTGATATCTTGCTCTATCGTCAACTATTCGTTTTAAAATAAAAATGTCCCTTTTAATATCGTGAAATAGTGAAAATTAAATATTGGATATCAACAGCCACGTGTAGAAATGTGTAATTCTACTCATTTTGCGAACAGTTGTACCACCATATCTGGAACCGCTGCCAGGGTGGATAGGAAGTCGAAATGGGCCTGTAACACTGTCAATAGGAATCTATCTGGGTCTAGTGCATGTGGTACAAACGTGGGAAGATGCGCTGTTTGACATAATTCCTGTTGACTTCGTGACTAACAGTCTCCTGGCGTTAATCTGGGATTCTATTGTTCACAGGTACTATCAGTATCATTAAATTAAATATGATCCTTTAATAAAGCATATCCGAATGTCTTTGTTTATCGGCATTATCGGTATTAAAATTTCTGTGAAGAGCTTAATTTTTCTATTATTTTCTATAGGAAGTCAAAAGAACCACAAGTTTACAATTGTGCATCATCTGACTGGAATCCTTTCACCTACAGATTAGCAAAAGAAACTGCTATGATAACATCGTATAAATATCCATCCCTTAAAATGGTTTGGTATCCATTCTTTTTGATTGTCCCAAATTTCGGTGTTTTGATTGTACTCCACCTAATATTTCACGTTATACCTGTTATAATTGCTGATATAGTTCTCGTGGCTCTAAGGAAGAAACCATTGTAAGTTTCAAAAAATAATTTCAAGACTGTACACGAATAAGAATACTTCGAGTTCGTTTTAAACGATATTTCGTTAAATTGCTTTAATATTTATTTGAAAAATGATGAAACATTTGTAATATCTTATTATGGATTCAGATGTTTGAACGTTATGTGATATTTTTTTTCACAGAGGTATCAGTGCAGTGTGGAAGGTAACGAAGAACTTAAGGGTTCTATCGCGCTTTACAGCTGCCAGTTGGATCATAAAATCTGATAATATCCGAGATGTTCAAACTCGTATGAATGCTGCCGATTTGAAAGAATTTCCATTTGATTTAAAAACAGTGGACTGGTACAGATATATAGATATAGCTGCACAAGCTTTCCTACAAATGACGAAGGAGACACCAGAATCATTACCAGCTGCTAGGAAAAAATATCGAAGGCTAATGACACTCCACTATACTATTTGTAGCTTCCTCGTGCTCTTCTTGCTCTTCTTTTTATACAGGGCAATGTGTAATGTTTTCCATTATTAGTAGCGTCATAAGTATATCATGAAAATTGGATAAACACCTGTTAATTTTATGTGACATGGAACCGCTATGCCTAAACTCGCCTGGATATAGTGTAGAGCGTAAAGACGCAGAAAAGGTACAGGCACAGACGCGGTTATCCGACAGTTTTTGAAAATGATTCTTAGGGCTCTCCAGTTTGCCCAACGAGGATAACCATGGGGCTTTTAGTGGGTTAGAATCCCACACCACTCCGCATTCCCCACCAAGATTTCCATCATGTAAAAGAAAAAAAAAAGGCACGTACGAGGTTCAAGATAGATTCTGGACCACAGACGACATACAGGATAGACCTTGCATCTTGTGGGACTTTTTGGCCGAGGCTTTGGGGCCGAGAAGTCTCTTATTACCTTCGTTTGGCCCCAACGTTAGCGATGTAGCATAGAATAAGATTACAATATTAGCAGTTGTTTTGGAATTAACCGTAACTATGAAATTATAATTAAGAAAGTAACGTAATTGCATATTAGTAGCTGATTTGTCATATTCCCGTGTTCTACTGATGTCAAACGATCGTGAACTGTTCTACCCTCGCAGTCCAACACATTTAGTAGAGCTCAATACGAAGAGTAACTTGTCGAGGTATTAAGCAATATAGAAACAAGTTATATAAGGAAAATAGTGGGGCAGACAAGGTAGCACTATGGTAATGAGTTAAACAAAGATAGCATTAGTGACTAGTGTTAGAAAGAAAAGCAATAGGGGTAGACAGTGGAAGAAGTATTTCGAAAGTAAAGGTTGCATCATCTCGTGTTTGGTGACGCGAACTGACTTTTCAACAGAAACATGAAATGTGAACGGAAGTATTAGACAGGGAACACCTACTGTGCAAGAAGGATAGAGATAAAACGTTTCTTATTAGCTTGCGTGTATCTACGATGCGCTTCTTGTAAGCTACATAAAGTCGACCAGGGAAAAATCATTAATAACTCAATAACTACGATGATTTTGTGAATGTTTAGAATTGAAGAATGAAGTGTGGACCTTTAACATCTTTCTCATATAAATTTTAATGCAAAAGACCGTTTCTATGACTAGTTATAAACAATTTAGTATGTGAAGTCGGGAGCGGGACTACGTACCTATACGGTTTTTCAATATTATCACAGCTTTCTACTAAATTGTCACGCAACTAACTGTAAGCGTCTAAAAGGCTACTCCCTTAGCTACCTTTCAGACTCATACACCTAGTTACATGAGAATCATTAGAAAAGTTCGAAATTATTGAAGACTGGTATAGGTGTGCAGTATCGTTCCCGGCATCACATACTAAAATAGGTAATAACTAATTATTGAAAGGGTCTAATGCATTGTAATCGTTTTGTGAAAGTTGCCGAAGGTCCACACTTCATTCTTCAATTCTAAAAGTTCACAAAATCTTTCTAATTATTGAGTTATTAATGATTTTTAACCGGTCGACTGGATTTAGCGTCTGGATGGCGGTGGTGTGCAGTCGGCGGGCCAATAGGAAACGTTTTCTCTCCATCCTTCTTTCACAGTAGTGCGTTCCTTGTCTAATTCCCCTGTTCATATTCTGTGTTCCTAGTAAGGAGCTGTTAGTTCGTGCAGCCGTACTTGAGATGGCGTTAGCTTTACTTTTGATGTAGCGGACTGGTAGAGACGTGTTCTGTATTACCGGCCCACGCGGGAAGTAGGATTAGGAGGTTTTTCTTTAGATTGTCTGTTTTACCATACAGGATTGTAACGAATAAGATATATTTAACATAATATATACTTTGAAATTATGAACAACCGAATTATATATATATACAAAATTATATGTATATTACAAAATCTTCTATCTCTTGCTTCACAAACGTTCTTCACCTTTCGACTGCTTCCGCTCGACTGCCCTTGACTCTCCTTTTCTGCTAGTCCTACGGTCTCTACTCCTCCAGCAACAGACGCTAAGAAAAGGTGGCGTCGGAGTTCCCTCCCGCGCACACCTACCACTTCCGGCATTCGTCGGTATCCCGGAAACGAACTCTCTTTCTGCTTTGGCGGGTCGCGGTAGACGCCGCCACATTGAAATTATCTGTCTTTGTTTATCCCTATTGCTTTTCTTGTCTAACTCATTTCCCTAGTGCTTCCCTTGTCTACCCCTATTTCTTTCCTTGTCTAACTCGTTTCTGTATTGCTAAATATCTTGTCGGTTTATTCTGCGCAGTGAGCACGACTAAATGTATTGTATTGCTGGGTAAAACTGTTCACGACCGTTTGGCAGCAGTAGAACACGCTCATATGACGCATCAGCTACTGATAAACAATAACGTTATTTTCTTATTTGTACTTTCATAGTTACGTTTAATTCCGAAACCGCTGCTACTAATGTTGCAATCTTTTTTTAGACTGAATCGGTAACGTTGGTAACGACACGAAAATGGAAAATGTCTTCTGGGCCCCAAAGCCCCGTCCGAAAAGATCCATAAGATGCTAGGTCTATCCTGCACGTCGTCTGCGGTGCAAGGTCTATTCTGTACGTCGTCTGTGCCTGTACCTCGTCTGTTGTTAGACCTACCGTCTACGATATAAAACGGTGAGTTTAGGAATGGCTGTTCTTTGTCAAATAAAACTAACAAGTGTTTATACAATTTTCATGTTATATTTATTACGTTACTAATAACTGAAAACATTATACAATGCCCTGTATAAAAAGGAGAGCAAGAAGAGCACGAGGAAGCTACAAATAGTGTAGTGGAGTATCATTAGCCTTTGATACTTTTTCCTAGCAGCTGGTAATGACTCTGGTGTCTCTTTCGTCATTTCTCGGAAACCTTGTGCAGCTGTATCTACATATCTGTACCAGTCCAGTGCTTTTAAATCAAACGGAAATTCTTTCAAATCGGCAGCATTCATACGAGTTTGTACATCTCGGATATTATCAGATTTTATGATCCAACTGGCAGCAATAAAGCGCGATAGAACCCTTAAGTTCTTCGTTACCTTCCACACTGCACTGATAGCTCTGTGAAAAAGAATATCACATAACTTTTAAACATTTGAATCGATAAAAAGATATTACAATTTTATCATCATTCTTCAAATAAATATTAAAGCAATTTAACGAAATATCGTTTAAATCGAACTCGAAGTATTCTTATTCGTGTACAGTTTTGAAATTATTTTTTGAAACTTACAATGGTTTCTTCCTTCGAGCCACGAGAACTATATCAGCCATTATAGCAGGTATAACATGAAATATTAGGTGGAGTACAATCAAAGCACCGAAATTTGGGACAAACACTAAGAATGGATACCAAACCATTTGAAGGGTTGGGTATTTATACGTTGTTGTCCTAGCTGTTTCTATTGCTAGTGCGTAGGTGAAAGGATTCCAGTCAGATGATGCACAATTGTAAACCTGTGGTTCTTTCGACTTCCTACAGAAAATGAAGAAATACTAATTTCTTCACAGAAATTTCAATACCGATAAACAAAGACATTTGGATATGCATTATTACGGGATCATATTTAATTTAATGATATTGATAGTACCTGTGAAGAACAGAATCCCAGATTAACGCCAGGAGACTGTTAGTCACGATGTCAACAGGAATTATGTCAAACAGCGCATCTTCCAACGTTTGTATCACATGCACTAGACCCAGATAGATTCCCACTGTCAGTGTTACAGGCCCATTTCGTGTTCCGAGCCATCCTGGCTGCGGTTCCAGATATGGTGGTACAACTGTTCGCAAAATGAATAGAATTACATTTCTACGCGTGGCAGTTGATTTCCAATATTTAATTTTCACTATTTTACGATATTAAAAGAGACATTTTTATTTTAAAACGAATAGTTGACGACAGAGCTAGATATCAAACGGCAGAAGATGTATTGCAAATCGTTGCTCTTGCAATTAATAGTCTTGAGCGTTAAAATATGTTCTTTTTCCGACCTTTCAATAGACTAACAAAATTGCGATTGATATCGTTTGTTTTTTCAAAAATCCTTGAAAGCAGGTCGATCGATCGTAACATATTTTCAGTGAAAAATAATGGTATAGAAATTGTCACTGATTCTACGAAGCAAGCAGGTACATTACATTATTATTTTTCATGCAGGTTATATCCAGGGTGATTCTCACAAAGCTTGGCCGATTAAAATTTCTCCAACGTGTGAAGAGATACGAAAAAGGACGATCAAACGAGAAATGTTCTGTTCCAAAGGTGGCAATCTTTTGATGTATGTGGCGGAGTTGTAGGTGGAGGCTTCTAGATGACTTTAATGTCAACTGAATTGTTTTTAAACCGGATCCTATATTTTTTGCGCTATAGATTCGTAGCGTTGTGCGTGGTAAGATTATCGACTGCGGCTCATGTTCATCCAAGGTCATGCAGGGTCACACGGCGCCAAAAACTTGAACTTTTATGCTCCGGGAAGCTAACGTGTTTATCAATGCGTTATGACACAAAATGTTCAAAATTGTTGTCTTCTGTTTGTCTGCAAAAATTCATTCTACTTGAAAAAGCGTTCAGAGCTCTCATGATAAGTCCAGCTAGAATGGCAGGAATTGTTTCAGTAATTCACAATATCATGTCGTCACGTTTTGTCTGCCTCTTCTGGTAAACAATGTTTCATGTTTATGTATTACACTTATTTACATATTCATGGAATTAGAAACTGGAGCATTCGACGCATTGTAATAACGCATTGATATACACATTATTTTCCCGGAGCATAAAAGTTCAAGTTTTTAGCTCAGTGTGACCAAGCATGACCTTGGATGAAATTGTGATCTGGTTGATGAACTTATCACGCAGAACACTACGAGACTATAGGGGAAAAAATATAGTGTTCCATTTAAATAAAATTCAGTGTATCTAAAAATCATCTAGACGCCTTCACTTACACAGCCACCGCATGTGTTAAAAGATTTCCCCCCCTCCTGAAACAGAACATTTCTCGTTTGATAAGGTATAATCTCATCCTTAAAAATTCTCCCACTTTTTATGATACACCCGGTGCATTACAGTGATTCATGAATCTCGGACGACGTCCCTTTTCAATTTTATTCAAGTTCTGCAGTATAAACGATACTAGTTCAACACCTTTTTTCAACATGTTTTTATCGTCGAATTGAAATAGCAATGTAATAATGCATTCATACCGATAGAAGGTCTGAAGACCAAGCAAGGGAACGATGCTGTTCTGCCAAAATCCTCGACCACGCTTTCGGTGATGGCTTTACTGAAGGTGTACATATTGGTCCATTTCCCTACGAAATCATTTATCTGTTCCTTGCTAATTCCATATTTCGTCTCTTCATCGGCTCGTATCATATCTTCGACTAGTTTTATGTCAGCCGGTGGTGGGTAAAATTTCTCTTCGATCACTTCGTTGTAAAGATGTGAGTACGCGGTTGAAACGTACACGAACGCCTT